AATGTTAGGCAGAGCATGATAAAGGCTAAAACAGATGTTGTGTGTGCATAAAGTGTAGCTTCTAATTTGGATTGAGGTCAAGGAAGGGTGCATTGGGATTTTATACTCAAACTTCACCCTTAAAGCCCAGTAGGAATTAACTAAGAGAAAAAGCAAGGAAAGTATGTTTGTAGCAAAAGGAAAAAGGAAACTGGCATAGAGAGTAGAAGCATGGTTCTGGGTGAGATTTTTGGGGGTAAGTGGCTGGCTGGAGACTAGCAAGAACCAGGTCAAGAGGGCCACAAAAATCCAGGAGGGACTCCAGGTAGAGGTGGGAGTAGTCTTGATTGTCCCTGTGCTCAGGTCCCAATATGTGAAATACTTCCTTTTCTCCACTTTCCTCAACCACACCTCCACCTCTTGCTCATCTTCTAAGGTTCACAATCATTGCTGTATACTCCAAAAAAACTTTATGAATCACCTGATCAAACATAATTTCACTCAATTTTATGTACCTATAATTCTCCATGCCATTTAGGCTAGAAACCTAAAGCCATATGTCCATGGTGTATACCACAGCATTAGTGGGAATGTTGTGGAGCTGGGGCTTGAACTCGGGGCCCTTGCGCTTGCCAGGGAAGCGCTTATTCTACTGAGCCATCTCCCCAGCCTGAATTTTTTTTTTTTTTTTTTTTTTTGCAGAACCGGGGATTGAACTCAGACCCTTGCACTTGCTAGGGAAGCACTTATTCCTCTGAGCCATCTCCCTGGCCCCTATGAATTTTTTTTTTTAATGATTTATAATCTCATTACTTTAACATCCCATTTTTTCCTCCAGTTCACCTTATCATGCCAGACTAATTAGCCTAAGACTTTGCTTTATTTTTAAATTTTATTTATTTATGTATTTATTTATTCATACTGGAGATCAAACCAGGACTGCGCTTGCCAAGCAGGCACTTATGCATGCCATTGAGCTATCTCTGGCCTAAGACTCTGCTTTCAAGGATGTATTTAAGATCATAGAACAATTTTAGGGGATAAAAGGTTCAGTTCCTTAGACAGATACTGAGTGTGTGTTATAAACTCCTTCCCTGGCGCTTGAGGCTGAGCTCATACTTTCACCTCACCAGCCCCTTCTCTGGCTCAGTCAGTCTGGTCTGTCTGCCATCTCCTGAAAATGCCATCCACATGTCTGTGTCTGAATTTTCATTTCAGAATGAGCCTGTGTTTCAAATCCATTCTGTTCAAAGATCATTTCTTGATCATTTCTTCAGAGCCCAGCTCTAGCCTCAGGCCTTCCTCTAAAGCCTCCGTTTTTTTATTCTTCTCTCTACATTATTACCACAAGGCAAAATATCCTCTCTATATGTCTTCAGTGTTTGTACTCACCAGACGAAGTCCAAATTCCTTATTTTTTTGGCAGAACCGGGGATTGAACTCAGGCCCTTATGCTTGCCAGGGAAGCGCTTATTCCACTAAGCCATCTCCCCAGCCCAAAATGGCAGGATTTTTATTTTTATTTTTTTTCTTTCTTGACTTCCTCCGAATACCTTCAGGGCAGGTTTGAGTCCTGGGGATGGAACCACAACAACCTGAGCCTGATTGCTTTGTTGAAGCAGCCTGTCACATGCCTTTTTTTTGTTCATGTTTGAGCTATTTTGCTCATGATTTTTCTTCTGTCTCTGCCATCTGTCAAATCTTTTTTTTTTTTTTTTGCGGAACCAGGGATTGAACTCAGGCCCTTGCACTTGCCAGGCAAGTGCTTATTCTACTGAGCTATCTCCCTGGGCCCAAACCTAGCTTCTTAGCATGCCTTTGGTGTGGAATAGCACCAAAGTATACTAGTTACTGCACTCTGTCGCCACACACTTCAGTTACTGCTAGTTTCACTTAAGTCACTTGAATGTGCCACACAAATTACACATCTTTTTAAAATAGAAACTAAGCACAAAGACTTTGCCACATACTGAGGATGACTAAGTCAAGAAAGAGCACTTGCATGATTGCCTCAGTGGCAAATTAAATAAAGTACCCCATTTTTATAAACTACTGACAGACTGGTGATTCACATGTGTCTGACAGTCATTTTCCTGAAAAGGAAGAAAGCCTGTCATTTCAAAGAAAGTTATTTGTATTTGTTGCCAGTGATAAAGTTCCCTGCCTCAAGGAAAAACTCAGAAAACTTATATCTGACATTGTGAACTTGACAGCTCCCTCGTACTTAAAAAGACTTCTCAACAGATGTATGAATATGATTTTTTTTTACTATTATGTACAGAAATGCATATTTCAAAATAAGAGTGTAAAAGAGGTCCAAAAGTAACAAAGTTTGAAGATCTCTACATATTTTCCTGCTACTTGCTTTATTTATTTATTTTATTTAGTACAAGGTCTCACTACACAGATTGGACTCATAGTGATCCTCCTATTTTCAGCCTCCAAAGTGCTGGTATCATAGGCATGGACCACCACACCTAGGTTCTTGTGCTTGCTAAGCAGGCACTTAGACTGCTGAGCTATTTCTTTGGC